TTTTTGCCGGTTTGGGGAATTTTTTATTTTTTTTTCCCTATTTTCTTCTTCTTCTTCTTCTCCTCACCCGAAAAAGAAAAAAGGATGGGGAATGGGGGAGGAAAAAAGAAAAAGGGAAGAAGAATTTGGGAGGGAAAATAAAAAAGAATTCCAACCCGGCAAAAAGTGTATCTGCAGAGCCCCCGCTAATTTGTATCTGCAGGCCCGCTAAAAAATAGGGGAAACTCTGCAGATAAAATTTTTGCCTTTTTGGAAATTTCCCCTTTCCCTTCTCACCCTTTTTCTTCTTTTCATCCTTTCTTTTTCCAAATCCTTCTTTTTTTCACCCTTCTTCTTCTTCTCATCCTTTTCTTCTTTAAACCCTTTCCCTCCTTCTTTTTCATCCTTCTTCTTCTTCTCACCTTCCTTCCTTTCCCCATCTTCTCCTTTCTTCTAATCCTTATCCTTCCTTCACTTCCTTCTCCTTCTCATCATTCTTCTTCTTCTCATCCTTCTTTTTTCTTCTAACCCCTTTCCTCCTTCTTTTCTTTCCTTCTTCTTTTTTCTCATCCTTCTTGTTCCCTCTTTCCTTTCTCCTTCTTCTTCATCCTTTTTCTAAACCCTTTCTCCTTCTTCTCTCCTTTTTCTCATCCTTCCCCCTTTTTTCTCATCCTTCCCCTTTTCTTACCCCTTCTTCTCCTTCTCCTTCTTCTCACCCTTCTCCTTCTTTTTTCACCCTTTCCCCTTTCTCCTTCTTTTTTCCCACCCTTTCTCCTTCTTCTCACCCTTCCCCTTTTCCTTCCCCCTCACCCTTTCCCTTCTTCCATCCTTCTCCTTCTTCTCACCTTCCTTTTTCTAATCCTTCTCATCCTTTCCTTCCCCTTCCTCATCTCCAGGGCTTTTAAATTTTAAAGGTAAAATTTTCTCCCACAAATTTTAAAAAGGCTCCCCTGAAGCCTAAAACCCCTTTTTTTTATAATTTAAAATTTTGTACAAATAAAGTACTTTTGCCGCTCTCACTCACCCTCTTGTCCCCAATACAGATTTTCCCCCGTATGAGACCTCTGCCATATATGAAGAAAAGGGCTTCTCTGAAAAACATTTCCCGCACTACAAACAGGTATTCAACTTCTCCTTTGTGTAAGATCTCTGATGTGTGTGAAGACTGGGCTTCACAGCAAAGTGTTTCCCGCACTCAGGACAGACATATGGTTTTTCACCTGTGTGAGATCTCTGATATATGTAAAGTATAGACTTATCTGAGAAAACATTTCCCGCACTTAGAACAGGGATATAACATCTTCCTCATGTGAGGTCTCTGATATATATGCAGGCTGGACTTCTGTGAAAAACATTTCCCGCACTCTGAACAAGGGTATGGCTACTCCCTCTTATGTTATCACTGGTATATATAAAAATAGGACTTACATGAAAAACATTTCCTGCACTCCAGAGAGGTATGCAACTTCTCCGCCGTGTAAGATCTCTGATGTGTGTGTGAAGACTAAGCTTCGCTGAAAAGTATTTCCCGCACTCAGGACAGACATATGGCTTTTCTCCTGTGTTAGATCTCTGATATATGTAAAGTCTAGTTTTGTCTGAGAAAACATTTCCCACACTTAGAACAGGTATATAGCATATTCCTCATGTGAGGTCTCTGATATATATGCAGGCTGGACTTCTGTGAAAAACATTTCCCGCACTCTGAACAAGGAAATGGCTGCTCCCTCTTGTATTATCACTGGTATATTTAAAAAAAGGACTAACATGAAAAACATTTCCCGCACTCGAAACAGGAATACTTCTCCCCCATGTGAGATCTCTGGTTTCTATAGAGATTGAAGTTCTCTGAGAGACTTTCCCGCACTTTAGGACATCTCTTCCTTTACTCCAAGTGAGGGGTGAGGCGGCTCCAGGTACTCTCTTCTGGGGAACATTGCACTCGACATTCCCCTCACACAATGAGTGGATTGCAGGGGGGTTCACCCAGCCCGTTTCTGCGTGTCTCCAGCTGCCACGGTCCTGTGTGCAGGAGGAAGAGAGCCGGGGTCTCCCTTGCGCCAAGAAACGCAGGTCGGCTCCTCTGCCTCCCAGAGCTCCCTTGCGGCAGATCACCTGATTGCCTGGTGTCCACTGAGCTCTGGGTAACACACAGCATCGGGCCGAGAGCACAGGAAGACCCGCCGTGATGGCCGCCACTCCCGGAGGTCCTCGGTCCACGCTCCCCGCAAGGCAAGCCCTGGCTAGTCTCTCTAGGGCTTCCCACACATCTCTCCCCTTCTCGGCAGAACACTAGAGGTGCTTGGGAGCCCTAACATCGAGCTCCCGCTCCAATCCATGGTCAGGCTCCTTCCTGGGTGTGGTCCTAATCCATGTTCACGAGCATGGCCCTACTGATCAAAAGTACAGAGTATGTCCCCACTGATCCAGGGTACACAGCACATCCCACAGATTCAGACAGCAGGTCCCCACTGACCATGATTACACCAAACTTCATTACCAACATAGAGTACATAGGGCATTCTCATTGATGTGGAACAAGCTGCACTTGCCCACTGATCCAGAGTACATAACATGTCCCACTGATGCAGAGTACAGAGCACGTCCCCATTGATCCAGATTACATGGCATGTCCCCACCAATGCAGAGTACATACCTTGTCCCCACAGATCCAGAGTATGTAGCCTTTCCCCGTTGATACAAAGTACGTAGCTTGGCCCCATAATACAGAGAATACAGTACTGTCCCATTAATCCAGAGTACACTACACTCCGCACTGATACAGAGTATGCAGCACAATTCCAGAGTTCAAATCACATCCTCACTAATCCAAAATATGCAACATGTCCACATTGATTTGGAGCACACAGCACCCCACACTGATCCAGAATACACAGCACTTCCCCACTAATCCAGAACATACAGCACCTCCCTACTGTTCCAGAATAGACAGCACTTCCCCACTGATCCAGAATAGACAGCACTTTGTATTCTGTCCAAAGTTGGGTTTTAAAAAAAAAATTACATAAACTATCTTTGAAAATACTGATTGGGGTATCAGATACCTTTAAGACCCAGATAGAGATTAAAACATGAGCTCCGGTTTCCTCCTCTACATTTCTATAATTACCCCCAGAACAGAGAAGATAGTTAGATGTCGGATCATAATTTCAAATAAAAAGCACATTGCAGAATGTAAAAAAGGCAAATGTCATTAGACTGGATGGGCAGAACGCTGTGTCCTATTGCCGCATATAGTAACATATAAACTACAGTGACTTTCAATTCCCACTTGCTCTAATTAGAGAAATGTTTTCAGCTCCAGTTGAAAGAAGCTTCGATCTCACTCTCATGATTTACCTACGGCCACCGGGGAGCAATTAGTATGTGCAGGACTGTCTCTTCTGCCGCCACAAAATGAACAAAAATTCCTTGTCGCCTTTCTAACATATCACATTCTATAATTAGATCATTGCAGATAAGAGACACCAAGACCTTTGGGGGGACGGCAACAGGTGGAAAATAATCTAGCACAATCTGAAACAATAATCTGGAAATCAGAGCCCAAATGCCAAGGGATGGGGACCAACACAGAGCAAGAGATCAGAACACGCCAGGCCAGCTGTATAATCTACACGTTGTTGTACAACTTCCTTTTTTGTAAAGGGGAATAAATAGGAGAGAGACTTTGCTCTGCATTCAGGGCCGTGGATAAGGGGGTAGAACTGGTCTTCCTGTATGGGGCCTAGGCAGATGGGTGAAATGGATGTGGGTAGAGATGGTGATTGGTGTGGCTGGGGGAGAAATTGCTGAAACCGATCACCTGTATGGCTCTCTATGCAGCAGCTGAAAGCCGGCTTCTTCTCCCTCCCTCACTGACATTTAGCTGAAGCAAAGAGAGTCAGACAGAGGATCGATCCCAGTAATTGCCCCTCCTACTGCACGCATTACTCTTCCTGTGCACCATACATTTCCCCTACTGCCTAGGCCCCCCTGTGTGCGTCCGCAGTACTACCACCTTTCCTCCTCTCCTTCCCACTGGCAACTGCACACAATAGGATCAATCAGGATGGAGAGTGGGGGGAAGGGTCCGGTAAAAATGTCACATTTACCAGCCCCTTGCTTTCCTGAATGAACATCATGAGTGATCAGTGTCAATCACTCAGTGTGTTCATTCATAACTGTGTTTTGCTTTTTGTTGTTTTTTTTGGGGGGGGGGCCCTTTTAGGGTGACTGTATGGGGCCCCGTGGTTTCTAACAGCAGCCCTGTCTGCATGCTATTGGCCTTGAAGATTTTTTAAAACAATAAGTTCACTTTAAAGCTGGCCGTTTAGGCAATTTTATACTTCCCTTACTTGTTCCACCAGGAGCAAGGAGAAGAAGAGGCCCTGTAAAACATATGTGAAATATACTCAAACCAATATGGAATCGTTCGTATAGCATGAAACTCAAAAGAGCTTCTCACATATTAAAAGTGAACCTACTGAAGAAGTCTTATTTAGCATGCAACGCATAAAGGGGTGGAGCATTGCCAATGAGGCAACACGTAATTTGCCTAGGAGTTGGTGGTGAGCTGGAGCATTGTTATGTGATATGCATGTTTTTCTTTTTATGTGAGTGTATTTTTATTCTTGGAAATGTGGGAATTGATATGTACATTATATATGCACTTTAACAGTATCGTTGTTCACTTTTAATATGTGAGAATCTCATGTTATAGGATTCTTTATTGGTTTGAATATACTGTATAATACACAATGTACTATATATCACATACAGTATGTTTTGGGTAGCGTTACACTATTTTGTCTATTTATAATTCCAAAAAGTGTTGTGGAATTACTTTATATTGTGTAAGCATGCAACCCTCACTAGGGAGTTCATTAACTAAACGGATTGATCTTTGGTTGTATTTTTCAGTCCTAGTCAGAGCTTGCCAAGCACCAGCACTGTGACAACGGAGGAAGGGTAGAGAGTAACATGCCACTACATACCAGGTATTTTCCCTTCATGCCTGGCAGCAAACGGAGCAATGGGGGAGCCATGGGAAGGTGAATTTAAAGTGAAACTGAAGGCAAAAAAATAAAACAGACAGGCTCTTTGTTGCAAAAGGGACATGCAATGTCTTTTTTGTAATAAAATACACTTGCATCCTGTTTGCAATCCCCTGCAGAATATACACTGAGCTGTGCATGCACAGCTCAGTTTACATTCTGAAGCACTGTCAGTGTGCCGGGATGACTGCACTCATGTACATGCGCGGGAATGACATCATCTGACGCTGGCCTGTCAAAACAGCTATCACCTGGAAGAATCTGGGGAGAAGATGCTGACAAGGGACCTCATAGGCATTGGACTTCTGGAGTATTTGTGTGTATTTGTGGATTCAGCTGGAAAAATGTGTGAATCCTGGTACAAAGCATGACAAAGTTATTTGCAAATTTAAAAATGCACTTTTTAATTATGTACATTTTTATAATGCAACACTGAAAAAAAAAAAGGGGAAGCAAAAAAAAGTGACACTAAACAATATCCTGTTTCTCCAAAAATCAATCATAAACATCCACTACTTAATGGCTCTGTAATCTATATTTTTTAATGTTTCTCTGCCTCCTTTTAACGTCCTCTCTGATCTCTCCTTGTAATGTCCTCTCTGAGCTCTCCTTGTAACGTCCTCTCTGAGTTTACAAACCTCTCCTTTTCCCCCTCACTTTGGTTTGCTTGGAATGAGCAGTACACAGTTGCGGTCATGTGCACTGCTTAATACATACTACAAATCCCATAGTCCACCACAGGAGCAAACAAGATAGGGTGGCTCAGGGGCGGACTGACAACTCATGGGGCCCCTGGGCAATAGGGGATCATGGGGCCCCTGTGTCTTTGCCCAAACTCAAAAAAGACTATGAAAAGGGTACCAGGGGCATCTCATGGGGCCCCCTACTGACCCCGGGCCCTCGGGCAGTTCCCGAGTTTCTAAATGGTCAGTCCGCCCCTGGGGTGGCTACATTCCTACATGCAATGAATCATTTAAAACAAATCGGAAGATGGATCACAGTAATAGTAAAATAAAAACGGAATTTGAAGATTTGGAAAAGGCTGAAAGCAATAGAAAGTACTCTCTTGAGGTAAAAATACATACTTCTTTTTAAAAACAAACTTTAGTGTCACTTTAATAGTGAAAAATCTGAAATAAAAAATATAAGCAGAACAATATTAGCTAAGGGGAGAAGGGGAAGAAGAAGTCATTTGGGACTTATTAGGGTTAACTATGGGTTAAATTAGGAGGGGTCCATAAAACGTGCAGCAATATGCCATAACCCTGGTATTATGTTTTTTTAGCCGGCGATTCCCTTTCTACTAAAAGTGAGCCTAGCATATGTAAACGGTGGTTCAAACCACACATATGATGTATCACCACGAACGACTGAGAACAATAATTCTAGCACTAGATCTCCTCTGTAACTCGAAACTGGTAACCTGTAAAAAATTTTAAAGTGTCACCTATGGAGATTTTTAAGTATTGTAGTTTGTTGCCGTTCCACCGCAATATTAAACCATGACATGTTGGGTATCTATTAATATGGTGTAATATCATCTTTCATATTTTACAAAAAAATTTGTTATATATTGTGTTTTGTTTTTTTTTAATTTATTAAAGCGTGTTTTTTCCCAAAAAACGTGCGTTTGAAAAATCACTGTGCAAATACTGTGTGACATAAAAAATTG